AGATGTCCTCCCCTCCCGCGCCTACTGTCCCTTTCTGTTGGCCCCTTCTCTCTCCATCCTCATCTCGTCTCCTCATCTCCTCGTCTCCTTTGCGCTCTCGTCCTCTCATCCTCGTCTCAGTCTAAACTTGTTATCAAATCGACCATTGTTTGTTTACTATAACTCGCATTATTTGGATACCAAAACACAAAAACTATACACCTAGATCTCTCGGAACGCCCTGGTCTCGTTGAACGCGGCCACCTCGTCCCTGCTTCACAGCAACCCCCGTCTGCTTTTCCCATCGCAACGCAATCCTCAAACGCCAAAAAGACTCCTGGAGCTGGCCTCCTCTCTCTCACGAAACACCTCTCATAATCCCATAATCCAACCAACTCACACAGTCACAATGTCCACGTATGAGATGCCCCCTGCTTCTCGCCTCACTGACACCCCCACTAACACATCATCTCCCAGTCTGGCAGCGGATATGTCCTTCGACTTCATCTTCCCATCGTGCGAGCCTTCCACGCCGCCGAGCTTCTCCTTCGACTCTTCTCTCCTCGACCTCCCCTACCACCACAACCCGGGCCATAACCGCTCCCGCTCAAATGGTTCCGTCTACTCCTTCATCTCTACCGCAGACTCCACACCGGACTCGGTGAGCACACGTATGACTACCCCGTCTCGTGCCTCACCCCCGATCCGCCAACACGGCCCTCTCTTGCTTCCCAAGATCCGCTCCCAGGACCAAGCCATCGAGTCGCCTCCCAAGCGCATGAAGGCATCGCCGAAGCCCCGCGCCCCGGTTCCCAGACGGGCAACCCCTGTGGGCCACACCACCAACGCCGTCTTCCGCCCGGCTCACACTCGCAGCTTCACCAACCCGGAGACCCTCACATGGAACATGCCCTCCACCTACTGCAGCCAGCCCGAGGAGCAGACTCCTTCGTCCCTCCTTTGCTCTCCCATCATCTTCGCCGATGACATGCAATCTCGCCGCGCATCAACCTGCAGTCTTGAGGGTGTCGCCCTCGAGAAGTTCGGCTTCCCGACCTACCGTCAGATGCCCTCATACGTTCCCTCTCCTGCTCCTCAGCAGCCATCAGAGGCATACATGTTCCCCTCCTACACTCCTCGTGCGCCATCTCCCCTCAGCCTGTCCGCCGCTGCCACTCCAGGCCCGACTCCCAGCACCACTCTCATGACCTACCTCACCGGATCTAACCCTGCTCCTTCGCTGGTGCGCACCATCTCGTTCCCTCTCCGGGATCCCAACACCAAGCACTTCTGGTGGGACGTTCGCCAAATCCGCCCCTGGACAACCTTCAACGCCTCCTCCGTCCTCTCTCTCCCTGGTGCCGCCGCCCTTCTCAACTGCCCCGTCCCGGCACCTCTCCTCCCCAACCCGGCCCCGACTGCCCGCCACCCAGAGACCGAAGCCGCTCTTCACAGCATCTACGCCTCCCACTACCTCCCCAAGCTCAATGCTGCGCTCGCCATCTCTTCCCACAGACCCATGCAGCTCTCTGCTCCCGCTCCCTCCGCCACCGCCAAACAGCCCGAGCTGCTCTTCACCGCCTCTCCCGCCGGCGAGCCCGCCTCCGCTGCCACCATCTTTGGCGGCAAGCCTACCGCCCGCGTCGTCGGCCTCGTCCGCTCCTTTGACCGCTTCAACACCGGCATGCGTGTCGAGGGCAACATCAAGCGCGTAGAGTACCTCCGTGGCCTCGCCGCCCTGCACCACGCCATGCGCGAGCACTCATGCCGCTACGGCTTCATCCTCACGGAGATTGAGCTCGTCATCGTTCGCAACGGTAGCGAATCCGTCCCCCACTTTGGTCACCTTGAAGTTACCTCCGTTCAGCTTGCCGCCGTCGCTGACGATGCCGACTGCGAAGTCGGCGAGATCCCGCTGACTGCCTGCCTCGCGCTCTGGGGTCTCTGCATGATGGCTGGCGACGATGCGCCTCAGCAGCAGGGCCGCAGTGCCGTGGCGCACTGGAAGACGGAGATTGGCGCGCCTGCTGAGGGCACCCGACGCAAGGCGCTGCCTAGGGATGATTGGATGCCCAAGCCGCAGTTGGCCGAGAAGCGTGAGGCCAAGAGGGCTAGAGGCTGGGTCATGCCCGAGGACCCCGTCGGCAGGAAGGAATTGGGCAAGCGCGGTGTGCGGTACGGTGCTTGCTAAGTTATGTTTTCTGCTTTCTGCGCTTTTTGGAATTATTTGTTCGTCTGCTTTTATCTTGGCGTTTTGAAAAGAGTCGCTTGGGCTGGTTCCAGACACTCTTTTCGGTGCGTGGACATGGGTACATAAAAAATAATTGGGATGGGATATGACTGGGAATGGATCATGACTGGATGATGGGTAAACCATGGGACATGTATTTACAAGGATTTTGGTAGCTGAGACGAGGGACTTTCACGAGTTGCATGACGAGGCATTCTTTCTTAGTACAGATGCAAGTTGTTTAGATGACTTGCAATTACAACCATTTTCAAATTTCAACCTGTTTATTCAGACCTCTGCACTCGAACATTGCTCAGTGATCATGATAATGTGAAGTCCATCGGTGCCCGGGGGAAAAGTATCAACAGCTCCAAATAGACTCTTCGAGATCCGCGGGAGTCAAAAGCCGTCCGCGCGGTATTTGAAGTTTCAGACGTTCTTTCTGTGCCGTAAACCTCAGCCAGTAAGCGCGCTTGACGAGGCCAGACTCTGGCGGAACAAGGATGAGGCTGGGATCGTGAACAAAGAAAAGGGGCCTCCCGTCCGCCCGGGCCAGCCCGAGATCGTTGGTTCGCTGATGCGAGTTTCAGGGAGGCACTGCTTTATTTATCTTTGTCTACTCTATAATTACATTACTGTCCGCAGGAGTCTTTTTTCGTCTTTGATTGTCCCATGTTCCCACTGTGACTAGGGGTCGGGTGAAGATGATACCTTATATCAACAACAGTACTCAACTGACAAACTTGTTATCCATTCTAAACTTTCCAAGACCACGTAACCACAACCTCATAACGAAAGGATTCGACCACAACAAATCACAGTAACTTCCAATCACGAGAAAATATGAAGACCGCCGCGATCGTGCTATGGAGCCTCATAGCTATGGCATCAGCCATCCCACTCGGTGAGCAAACCTCTCCCGTCCCCTTCTCCTAAACATCCCACCACAAAGTTGAAAATGTGACAAATGGAACTCGTGATCCATCACTAAAGTGGAACACACAAAGACTCGTTGGCAGCAGACCCCGACGCCGAAATATGCCAGGCCTTCTGCGACGGCGCGTGCCCGGAAGGATGGACGAAGAAGGCAGACGACACGGGCGCTGGCGCGGCGCGGGCGTGTGCTTCGGGGGCGGGGGCGTGGTGTTGTCAGAGGTTTTTGCATTTCCCGCCGGCGTAGTCTGATCTACGCAGCAACGTTTGGCTTGGAGGTTCTGAGAGCTGGGCTGGTGTTTCCGGTACGACTTTGTGAGGAGTTTTGGGACCGTTGGAAAAGTTCACGATGGAAGTGGCAATGACGTGGGGTTTTCTATTGATACAGATACCTAGAAAGGGTATGAGATGACCAAATACCCTCCTGCTGTGCATGTGGCAGCTATTTCAGCTGTTCTAGAGGGTCATATGACCATACTGAATTGGATGCAACCTCTGACATTCAACCCTCCAGCGACGAGCGTCCTCCTTGCGGCCCCGTCTCACTGACTTCACCCTTCATCAACCAGAACACCTCCGCTTATCGCCTGTCCCGATTGAAAATCGTCCTGACCCCCGTGACAGCAACCCATCCGATGACAACAACAGTAACAGCCAACCGAATCTCCCTGACGATGTCCACGGCAGCGGGCCCGAAGTGAATGGCGTGGATGTGGTTTATCGCGCCCGAGTGCGCTGCTGAGAGGCCGAATTGTTCCATCTCGTCTTTCGTCAGCTCGTCACGGTATGAATTGAGCTGTGCGAGATGGCGTGAGAAGCTTACGGTTTTGATGGTGAGGTTGAATGGTGGGTGGAAAGAAAGGGATATGGTTGGAGTTGGCTGAATGATGGAGAACTTTTTTGTGGGGGTCGTGCATTACGTCAACGAATCATGGTTGCGGTTGGGGTTTGCCGTTGAAGAAATTCTGGAGAAGTAATGTCTCCAACATGACGACAGAAATCTTCGATTACGGTTGATGATTGGCATGGCAAATCGTGAATGGTAACTGCAGAGATACACGGAACTCGAATTCCCAATACCTTCTATCGCGTCTCGTGATGCAATCCTCGGCAGGCTGTGTATGGATGTTGCGACGGGGTACTGAAGAATGGCCGGTAGTTCTGATCCAAGACGCATACGGGTAAACAAGGATCTTCCTTCATGGAGTGCACATTCAAAGCCTAGCAATAATGACAGGGAGCGATATCAATCGATTCACGCTGGGCAACTCATAGCGTATGACCCGCTCACCTAAACACTTGTAGATGCGGGCAATGCTGCAATGATCAGTCTAGGCACTGACGTCGACAACTTCTCCACTTTCTCTACACTTGGTGAAATCTCTTCCCTCAAAATTCTTCTGGCAGTGAAGAAGGATATGGCAGCAGCGTCAGTTTCAAGCCGCCGCGGTGCAAGGATGAGTCCGCTTGAAGGGACAAGGTAAAAACGAAAAAATAATAACCCGAAGAGTGGCTTTGCCAATCGCGGTGAGGATTTGAGCCTCACGCGGGGGTCGAACCCGCAACCTTGAGATTAAGAGTCTCACGCTCTACCGATTGAGCTAGCAAGGCGGGTCATTTGAATTGTTGAAAATAACAACCTGGTTTGAGTTTCAGGTAGCCTACTCTAATGCCGCCATGAGTGCCTCCGGAGGCCCAGCGATCTCTTTGTCTCCAGTCCTGTTTCCGAAGCCTGGTTCCGTATTTCTTTTCTCAGTTCGCGCGAAAATCGTGACGTTAAAAAGGAAGAGCTGGTCTGGGTTTATCTTCCCTCAAGTCTTTTGTGACGTACATCTAGGTAAAGCCCGAAATTAACTCTCTAGAACTGATGAATTTGATCCTTCCGATACCCCAACTGCTGCAACACCCCCGGCGCACTCCTCTTCCCCACAAGAGCCGCCTCCATCGCCGGCGGACCGCACACAAACACCTTTGTATCCTCCTCCTTCTTCGGCGCGACCCCGACCTCCTCCAACAACTGCTTCGTCACATATCCCTTCCGGTACGGCGAATTCGCCACGGGGTGGCTAACCGTGTACACGGCCTTGAACCTGCCGGGGAACTCCTTCTCAAATTGCTCGAACTCCTGCTTTAAGAGCACGTCCTGGTCCGAGTTGACGCCAAAGACGAGCGTAATGGCGGTCTTGTCTTCGGGGTTGCGGAGGATGCCCTGCGCGAGCTGGTAGATTGGTGTGATGCCTGCACCGCCGGCGATGAGGGTGATGTGGCTGTAGCTGTTGGGCTTCCATTGATGGCCTTTGATGGCGAGGGCGAAGAGGAGCTTTTGGCCTGGTGTGAGGGAGTGGATGTGTGTGCTTTGCTTGCCGTCTGGGTACTTCTTTACCATCAGCTCGAGATAGCCGGCGTCATCTTTTTGTTTGGTCAGTAGCTGTTTGTACCCGGAGTGCAATGGATGGCCTTTGGGCGATTGTTCTTGTTCTTACCGAGGGGTTGCACGGGCGTGTAAGGCCTCGCGACGGGGAGCCACCTGCCCTCAGGCCATGACATGGTCAGGACAGCAGCTGTTCTCGAATATCAGCAACTTTCTTTCCTTAACGCTCAGGTGACCGCAAACACTCACACGTCAATGAAAGACCGCTGACTGCCTCCCTCTGTGGTAACTTGAACCGCAATCGCTTGGTATTGTGGTTCACATCCTCCGAGCTCTCCAACGCAAGCGACACAAACGCAGGCCCCGCCCCAAACACCTTTGGCGGCGCTCCAGACTCGGCAGACGCGCTGTTCACAAACAGCCTCGAGTACGCCGCCAGGCCAATGCCCCCAGCTGCGAAGGTAGCCGCAATGGTCGCCGGTCGCACACGGCGTAATGGTACTGATGCCATTCTTCAATTGACAAAAGATGATTTGTGTAGAGACGATATGCAGATGTGCACTGATGCAAAATGATGTAAACAAAACACTGCTAGCTAAGCTACGCTATGGAATGCTGCAGGGCGATGGTAGTTTAAAAAGGGTTGCTGAAGCTGACGTAGGAAGACTTAGGAGGATTAGTCGGGCAATATGCAGGCTCGGGACCGACGCGGGTTGGGGAAAGCACCGATGGTGGGGTCTTGCAGCCGGTATGATTTCGGTCATCCCCAAAAAGTCCGTCACCGATCGGACGATGTCAGCTTCAGCTTGCGTTTGCCCCATTTGGCCCATCAAGAACGGAACGAGGAGCGGTTCTCGTATACCTGCATGCAGGTACCAAAGATCAGGCGTTCGTCAAGGAATGTTGTTCTCTGTTCATTTGCGGCGTTGCGCCTCAATGCTGTGGCTTCAGCGGTGGTTTAAGCAGCTTTTATGCCGAGTGCACACAGGCTCTTCGTTCTGCAAGGTACCTGGCTCAATGATCGAATGCTTTCGACGTTGGTGTCTCCAGCTACAGTGCGGTAAGTCCTATCTCGCAAAGACTGGACGAGATCAGCGGGCTTTGAAACGGTATCTCAATTGGATTCAGTCCGCATTGCCTCATGTCTCCTTGGATGGCCGATGGTTCAGCCCCTTTGTTGGTACGGCGCTCCGTACCTAGGTAGCTGAAGCTTCGGCGGGGCCGGACAACGGTGGCGGGGCACTGCGCAGGTGTCGTTGTTCGGCAATCAACGTTCCTTCTGGCAACAAAATCTGGCGTTGGCCAGAGCTTGCAAGCTAGCCATCATGCTTTTTATTGGTGCTACCTGAGAAGTGTTTGGTAAAGATTTGTGGGTAGAGAGAACAAGGTCGACAATGCACGCTGTTCTTGACCTCCCGCCTACAGGAACCCTCTTTTGTAGCGTCAAATTGCCTCGTAGTACTTACTGAAAATCACTGGACACTCTTGCGACACACCTGAAGTGCCAAAGTCGAAGCTCCTTTGCATTCATTCGTTTTAGAGAACGAAATGAGGAGAACGAAGCACTCAGCTCCTTGTCGATGCGCGTGGCTTCAAGGCATGGCTGTAGTACAGCAAGATAAAATGCCATCAGTAGCGATAGCTGGATATTGTTGAGCTGAACAGTTTTTGAACAAGATCGTTGGACAGAACATCTAAAAATCGTGATACGAAGCCCACAGCCTCATCTTCTGGGTATAAAACTACAGCTCTTAGGACTATTCTGACTTCCCATTTCGTGTCAACACCCTCATCCATCAAACAAAGTCAAGTCTACGAAAGAACTAAGCTTCAACACATAATACTAGTAAGCTTTAGGATTCATCACACAGCTAGGAAATGGTGGAAAGTAGCGATGCTTACTATGTCACTTAGTCTCTTCGCTTTTGGCTCCTCAAGCTCGTCGATATCTCAGCATGTGCCCCTACAACTTAGTCTACTGGCCGATATGCTGCGGGAGAACATTGAAGTGCCGGCGGGACCATTGCCATTTCGCCCGCAACGACCCCCAAAATGTATGCCTCAATCCAGAGCTTGACCCTGAGCTGGTCACCCGAGATTTCCCATGCAATGAATGTATATTCTACGCAAGCCTCCAACAGATGGCACAATGGGTGCCCGACCCAGTCAAGAGAGAAAAGTTGGTCAGAGATGCCCCTTCGGCATTAGAAAAAGAACGACGAGATGCGTACTACGAGGCAATTCGAATACAGAAAAGGGCGGCGCGTACTGTTGTTTGTAAGCAGAAGAGAGAGGAGAGAAGAGAAAACGAGGCAGATCGGGCCGCAGCAGCGGCCGCGCCCAGAACGCCGACGCAGGCGGATTTCATGAACGTTGATGGAGCTAGCTCTTCCTCGCAAGGCGGAAATGCGTTTGGCAAGTAGCAGAAACAACCCACGTAGGCATTCTGCCACAGCGCCCCTTCTGGTGGCTGCTCCAACTTCACAGAAGGCCTCTCGCCTGACTCCACTCTAGCCTTTAGACACTGAAAGAAATCAGACCTCGTCGTCACCAACTTTCTGCGGCTTACGCGTGCTGTGACTACTCCTTTTGCTCTTGAACCAGAATGGGAATCATCGTCATTAGAGGAGCCTGGCTAGCAGTGGACTTACTCAATGTATGTCCAATCTTGATCAAGTCCACAGCCTAATTTCGTGAGGCATCATCCAGTCCTAGACGCGACGTGCTTTTCGAATGCAGAGTCTGAGGTTCTGTTCTGGTCAAATGAAGTGGGAGATTCAATGTCTCATGGATTTCAAGATATGCGGCTACTACATGAGCCCGGTCACACTATCATCTTTACCCAAGGTACTCTTAATTTAAACATGGACTTCAATGTCATTGATGTGTCACTCGACAGATCTGCAAGAACGCTGATAATTGTGTGGCTACCGTTCCAAATACTTCTGCGAATGAATTTCGAATCAACTCTCCAACAAGGCAATAACGTTAGTACTTTGGCAGGTTAGATACTGGTTATGCCGGGCCCTGAACAGCGGAGCCGAGGCACGGCCGGGTGGACCTACCGATGCACGGAGCTGGCGCCGGTGCCCGATATTTTGCCGCACTGACCAATGACATGATGGGGCAGGTAGCTGACTAAGAAGACTGGGCCCGAACTAAGATCAAGCAATGATGTTTTCAATCAACATTCTCCTGTGATGATCCTACCAGTGTCTCGATATTTCGACGGGGTTTTGCAGACTGTACATCAACATGTCGGTTCAGGAATATGCAGTAAGGCTATGTTTTCTGGCTTGCGAGAGGAGAGCTCTACTGACCGTATCTAAAGGTCAATGAATACACCGCCAATGCGCAACCTCACTTCAACTTGCTGAGGATATTGGGCGGATGGGGCAACGTCAAGTTTGTTCTGCCAGTCCTCCTCATACTTAAGCTTAGCTGATTTTCAACAGTGGCCCCGGTCTTCTGTATGCACCAAACATCTCATGACATGCGCTCATAACTGACATCATCCCAGCATGCTCCGGAGCATGCTAGCAGGAACATCGACAGCCGCTGTCCTCGGACTCTCAGCCGCTATCGTGGGAAGCAGCATCTGGGGCACCGCCGCCCTGCCCTTCATTGTCGGTTCTTCATTAGGATTCGTACTCGGAAGCACGAGATGGTACATTGTTGCCGTGAAAGAATCCCTGCTGCAGCTGGACAACTACCCCGCCATCTTGCGCCTCCACCTGATCGCCAACTTCCCCTGGAAACCGGAGCTCGGACGGCATAACCTTGATTGGTACAATGCCAGACGATTCAGCTCGACGTGGCAGATGAAGAGCATGCTTGTGGCTAGTTGGCTGACTGCTCAGCCGGCGCTGGACGAGATTCGGAGTCGGACTGAGGCTGCGTTGGTGGATAATTATCTCAGGCAAGGGGGATTCGAAGGAGAGGATCAGGCTGCCACGCCGCAGGAAAGTCGATGAACTGTTCCAGATTCTTGTTGGATATGCGGTGGCTGAACCAAGATAGACAGTTCGATCTCTCTGCTAGAGTCTGAGAGCCTTGTAGGAGCCCTCAATAGACCAGGGATCACTCGGAGAGAGATAGAAATCCACACGCAATCTAACTTTCACAGAATTTGTAGAATTAGAGAAGATTTCGGGAAGAATGACACTGTGATTGGGAGATGAGTTCCAAATTATATGTAATCTCTGCTTGCGGGGTACCCTGATCCGCGCCATCATCCGTGGCCCGAGGGATTGAACATAATGTCTTGCTTAGCCTACAGTCCATAGCATGGAAGCTCCCTTCTCTCCACTCACTTCTTGCTATCCGAGTCTTGAATCAAAATTCGCTTGTACCTGCGAACCGGGTGTTGACCTTTCTTGTTATTCACCTGGAGAATAACATGCCATAATGCTCCCTCGAGCCGCGAGATGCTTGGCACATTGTTCGTGATCTGGACCCTCGGGCCAGTCGTGACATTCCGGAACCCCGCATCGTTGAACTTGAGATAACCGGTCGTACCAGATGGCGGTGATAGAGGGTGAATTTCGATGAGCCCCTCGAGATATCCACTAGCCCAGGCAACGGAGGCTTCCGTGTAGGCATACCACTCGAACTCGAGGTGGGTCGGGTCTTCGGGGTGATCAGGGTCGTAGGTCGCGCTGGCATCCAGAATGATTGTGTCTTTGGACGGCAGAGCAACCTCCATAGCATCAAGACCGACGGAGCCGTTCACGTTGATATTGGGCGGGTGAGTTGCGTCTTCAAATCGATCCGTGACTGTCCACTGCATTCGCGCAGCAAAGTCGTCTTGGTAAGCGTCTCGCCACCGCCAAACAGTGGCGCCTGAACTTTGATGGTTCATGCCAGACACAGAGACTGCTGTATCCATGGATGTACCATATTCATTGATGTCCGTGGCCTCGGTTACACGACTGTACCGACCACCCCAGCCACCCCAGTCTGGGCGCCCCGCACTATTGAGGCCGTTTTGAATCAGCCACATGAAGCTCGGCGAGTCGCCCTCCATGCCGTAGATAATCTTGGGATACACCTGTCCCAGAGGGCCGATGCGGATGTTGGGAGTCAACCAATCGTCTTGTGTTTTCGTCACATTAGAAGCACCGTTATCTGCGCCGTTTATGCCGCTCCATGTAGAAGCTTGGAATTCGCGAAAGCCGTGCACGTTGACGATGTACGTGATATCTGGCCAGTTGGCCCGAATCCATGGGCCGCAATCGTCCTGGTCCGAGATCGAGTAGACCCGAAGCCTAGACCGAAGCTCGGCTGCCTCACTGGAAGTTCGTTCTGCGCTGATGAACTGTAAGGCCTGCGCTAGGGTGTTGGCTCCGCCCCAAATGGAGACAAACAACGGATCAACGTCCGCTTCAAGCGCTTCGACAAGGAGTCTGGCGCCATCGCTTAACGGTTCATCCAGAGCCTTCCGGCCGTAAACCTGGAGACGACAAGTTAATGAAGAGCGTTTACAATCGCCAGGCGGGGGATAAGTCACATACCACTGGGCCTGATCTCACAAGTTTCAAAAGGTCCTCGGCGGGATTGAAGCTTGCGTTGGGGTGCACATGCTGATTTAGATTGGACACCACTTCGCCATATGCTTTAATAATAAGTCCGATAGCCTCTGGGTGCGTTTCGTTCGGCAAGCTAACGGAAGTTGTGGCAACCAGACCCTTGGTATCGAACTCGTTTGAGTAAGTCAAATAGCGAACCATGGACATCTGGTCATCAGGCTCATTAAGAATATCCGTCAGAATGAACGTCCGAGGCTTGTGGGGAAACTGAGGCAACTTTGTCAAGTCATTGGCCGTAGTTGCTTGAGCTTCGATATTTCCAAAGAGGACCAAAGTGAATATTAACAAGTAGAAGACTTGAAGTCGACCCATTTTTGCTATCGGTAACAATGTTTGGTTGTTAGCTCGAGGACCCAATACTATACTTGCGATCTGAATTTATACATTCTTATATGTCTCCTAGCGAGTGCTATCATAAGCGCTTAAGATGGCTCAATGTGGAGGAATGATCATAAACAGGTATGATAAGCACCTACTATGCCGAGTTTACGGGGTGATTGAAGTCGCGACATTTTACCTTCAACCATTAGTGTAATGTGTTGTGGCCTATTGTGGGCATGGGTCATACCCCGCATCCCCAGAATCGGATCTGAGGTTCAATGGCTAGGTGCAATGCCTATACGCGGAAGACGCGGACGTCTTGTGGAAGGGGAAATTCTGACATGGGTTACATTCAACCCGGGAGACATGTCGAGATCAACACCACAGAAGTTGATGAGCGTTTAAGGACAGCGAATTCGTATTCAGTCTGGCCAATTGACGAATCGCTTGATTTTCGCATCCTCGGTATGATCCACATGACCAAATCGGGTAGAACTAGCCCCTCTGATTGCCACCACTACGAGAATCGTTCAATAACCATTCTGGAACCAGACTGTTGAGTTCTCATACCTACCTCTTCCTCATTTCCCTATTCAGAGCCGATGCGAAGTAGAGTAGTCCAAGCTAAATTTGGTCAGAAACCTCTGCAACTTTCGCCATGACTTGAACGCCCATCATAAGCGGAGGTCATACCCCGCCCAAGAAGTGTCTCCTAGGCTTTTAACGCAACCGATTCCCGAGGTGTCAATACATCTTCGACGCAGGCTTTTCCCAAACAACCCTCACCTCCTGCAACTCGATCCACCTTCTACTCCCGCCAGAAAGTCTCATCTCAGAATCCCAATTGATCCTGGACAGAATACTCCTCATTTCCGTGTATGCGAGGCTAGTCAGGTTTGCTAGCCCAGATAAGTCAACATACCCACTTCCTGGCACCCCCCTGTTTCTGGCACCCACAAAAACGCGAAAATCCACCACAACCCAATGCCCACCCCCAACCTCCTTTTATCACAACATTTTCAATTCGCGTCCAAATGGGCTCATCTTTTGCACATGTCTTCTTCTATATATAATGCCTCAATATACCGAAGATCAGCTTCGTCAGGCTCTCGAGGA